TGGGGGGGGGGGGGTGGGGGTGATTTGAGTCTTGAATATATGTCATCAGAGGTACTAAAAATGCACAAAAATCGCATGCCTTTGAAAATATCCCAAATTAGGAATTTTACTCACTACATATATATATATGTCTTTTCTCTATAGCACAGAGTATCGTAAAATGACGAGTCGTCAATTTAACATTCAAATACGGATAATTCTAGACACACATGGATTCGAAGGCTCATATTTCGACGGTTAACTGGTTGGCTTAGCTAAAAAAATTCATGTTACGGAGACTAGAGTATGATTGGTCAAAAAGAATGGCGCAACTGTCCCTTTAAACTTACTTACATTACATTCAGTTGGCTATTCAACATGTCAGTTGTGGTAACCCGTTTTATATTCGCCCTGCGTTTTTGTTGCATTGTAGGGGAACCCTAATTCTGAAAAAAAAAACTACGGACCTCGGAATCTGAGCTTTAAAAGGCACCAGTATCAAAAACATGCGACTGGCCTGGCTTTCCAAACCCCCTCCAATTTAAAATTTCTTTTCAAATTCCTGATGCTTGTTGCATAAATGACAACTCTGTGATACATATTCGACCCCTCAACCTAATGATTCCGAGAAACGCCACTACTGCCCAAATATACAACCAGCACTTTCATCTAATATGGATTTTAGAGGGAAAGTTAAAAAGATGAGTCGTCTTTCCTTGAGACACTGCATATACAGAAAATACATCTATAAAAATAGGAAAAGTTTGAGATATTTTTGAAGTAATTATGCCATTTTTGTACATTTCTAGTACTTCTGAAGACTATTTACATATACTCAAGACTCATATCAACCCCCAAAATGGCGCATCGGTCCCTTTAATGTTTCTAAAGGGCTTTATAAACTGAAATTTGAGTGCCTAAAATGAATTTAAAATTCACATTCAGTTAAAGATGAAGATGATGAAGACAAATGTTTTTAATTTCAGGGTAAAGGTGTCATGGAAACATTTTGGATATTAGGCACTACTCATGTAGTTCCTCGGAGACGGAAGACAAGTTTACCAGATTTCCTTAAAGATGTTTCACCACAAGAACATAAAAACAACCTGTTCACACTGTAGTCTAGAATATATTCAAATTGATTCTATAGTTCGTCAATTTCATTTAAAACAGACTCTCTGATAGGACATCTTAACAAGGTCAATGTCAAGATATTGCAAACTCTGTTTTATACCTTGACTACAATAGCCATTATTCTTGTATCTTGGAAGATTGGAAATGACGCGATTTGAAGTACTAAGTTTGATATAGCTTGACATTGTGAAAGTGATAAGGCTTCCGAGTTGAAAAACACATAGCAAAAGTTGCACATTAAACAGAGCTACACTGTGTAATCAAACAAAAATAGCTTGCTAGGCAAGGTAATATACACTCACTTGCAGCTTTGTCTAAAATGAAATGGAGTTTTACATCCTAATTTTCTGCACCATGTGGGCTAATGAAGACGGGCAATGCCATGCAGGGTGCAATGAGGGAAATTTTGCCAGGACAGCCTGCTCTTTTTCGATTTCCAACTGTCGAGGGATCTTTAACGTGCACAGTCTGTAGCACACTGGGCCTCAGTTTCTTGTCCCATCGAACGACTAGACACTTTTTCCAGCCCCTCTTTCCTGAATCACTGACAGGGGGAAACCAGGTTGAAAAATCCGAAGGCACTATCTCGACCTCTGCCGGGATTGAACCTCGGACCTTCAGGTAAGCCAGCAAGTGTCTAAACTGACTGAGCCACGGTGGCTCCCTCCATAAAGCTCTGGTAAGCGCTTGGCTGCCTGTATATTAACAGGAAAACAAAGTTAATTTGATTATTGTACATGACTACATATTAATAATGCGAACACAAGAAGTAAATAAATAATACTTTTAGTTTCAAAGCTTTGATAGTAAACTGCAGTGGTTCAAACCCTGTTTTAGAGTAGCATCGAAAATATACTGTTTAACTTCTGAAAAATAACATTAGCATCTATTCTATTTTCTATTTTATTACAATGTAGACACATGTGGCACTGCCAATTATATTTGATTATAGTTCAGTTTCATACTTGATCCTATTTTGTTTGATTTAATTGTAGACCATCCAGATGTCCTTTATAATATGAAAAATGACAGGGGTAGCCGATGTGAATAAGAATCTTTAGTCTAGTTTAGCAAGTGTGTGTGTCCATATAGAAAGAAATATGCTGCGGATGAAACACATTAAGCTTATATGAAAACATCTATCACTAAACTTCCAAATGTCCGTCCCACCGCTGTAGTTTTTATATGACTAAGTGATTCACTGTCATTTAGGCACAAACACTTCAGTTAGACACAGTACTTTAGGCACACTCTTTTTAGGCACTCTGTCAGTTAGGCACATATTCATTTAGGCACACTCATATTCAACATTAATCTTAATATTTTTAACACATTTGAAACCTAAAAAGTGAGTGCATATATAATGTGCCTAATTGAAGTTGTGCAAATACCTCTGTGCCTAAATGTCCTCATCCTAACTGATCAAGTGCCTAAACAGACTTGTGCCTAGAATATTTGTGCCTAAATGACTTGCAAACCTACTATATAGCACTCTGGTCCTTTTAATATCACAATTCATAAGTTTACTGCATTCTCAAAGCTCCATCTAATCGTATGACCTCTCCATTTAACATTGGATTTTCTATAATAGTCTGTACTAAATGAGCATATTCATCTGGATGTCCCAGTCTAGAAGGAAATGGTATATAGGAACAAAGTTGTTGGATGGCTGCCTCTGGCAAGGATTCTAAAAGAGGAGTCTTGAATAAACCTAAAAGAATGAAATAGTATAGTTTGTAAAATTCATTTATAAGGGCTAGGCGATTTAGGTTCAAGTGGATATCACAACAGGCATCTGTATCTATCAATAGACGACTCTCTCTATAATAGTATGTAAAACAGAAGGTGGCTAATGCTTGTCACAACCATCTCCTCTTCAGACGCTTTTCTACCATTTACCGTACAGAAACATAATCCCTACCTTAAATGAATCGTTTCATTGAATATTTTCCCTTAAAGATTGGTTCCTTATTTTTCAGTGTCAAATTAAACTATTTGATTAATTGGTGTTTCTAATGAATTATCATGTATTCTTAATCATATCATTATGTTCTCATTGCACATAATTGAGAGTTTTAACCAATCATAAATGTCCATGTATGAACAGACTGGATAAACAAAAAAAGACTTTTTGGCCTTTCTTAATCAGTCACTCATTGGAATTCTGTTGGTATTTCTCTTCTAATTTAGCTAATTATGAATTAATTATGGACACGTGAGACATTCTGGTATTTTTCCAAGTCATTAGAACACCTCTGAGTATTAGCATTTTTATTTTCAAAAATGAAAATAAGGGTACCCATCTTTAACACTAGACATTTTTTTATATCTCCCTCAGTGTTCATCTTCATACTAATCTAACTATTGTTTCAATCAAAATACTAAAAAAATTTACACCCATCGTTTTAAAAGATAGGTCTGAAGCTATTAGATTGAAATTATTCTTGTAAAATATATCTCTGTTTTCTTTTTAGAATCAGAATCATACTTACCAGGAGCTATAGTCATGACACGAATTCCCTGACGTCCTAAATCTCTCGCTAATGGTAAAGCCATGGAAGTAATTGCTCCTTTGCTAGCAGCATATGCAGCTTGACCTCTTTGTCCATCAAAAGCTGCCACACTGGCAGTATTAATTATTACTCCTTTTTGGCCATTGGAATTTGGTTCGTTGGCGTTAATCAACCCAACAGCAAGTCTTGTTACATTGAATGTACCTCCAACATTTACCTGCAATAAGATTATCATTAAAGGGACAGGTAGGCCATTTTTTGACCAATCATACTAGTCTCAGAAACTGGAATTTTTTAGTTGAGCTAATCAGTAATAGTGTTCAGAGCTCACTGTCGAAATTTGAGCCTTTCATTCCATGTATGTCCAGAATTATCTGCCTTTGAATGTTAAGATAGCAACTTGTTAATTTAAGATACTCTGTGATATATAGACATAACATATATAGAAATAGTGAGTAAAATTCCTAGTTTGAAATATTTTTAAAGGAATTATGTGATTTTGTACATATCTAGTACTTCTTAAGACTATTACATACATTCAAGACCAAAATCAACCCCCCAAAATGGCACACCTGTCCCTTTAAGTTTGTCTCCCAAGGATTATAAACACTAAGAGCATTGTGCAACATGTCACAGAATTCAAATGATTGCTTGTCACTTGGTCATTCCGAGTCTGGTTGTTCAGGACCTTAGGTGTTTGTAAACAAAGCTGTTAAAAACAAGACATTGCAAGCTATGTGGATTCGAAGTAAAATTGAAATTAAAATGCCAAGACAAAACGAATCACTCCATTCATCACTGCTGAAAGTTTCTAAGCTGAAATAACAGCCAAATTGGGAAATTTGGTGTCTCCTTATCGTAAAACATAAATGATCTGATTTGGTGGTTTGATAGTCAAAATACCTCTAATATTCTTTTAAAGTCTTCTAAACTATGTGGCTTATTTCTCTTAAAGTCGTATACTGTTTTAGCTATTCCAATACCAGCACAGTTGACCACTGTATCTAGTCCACCAAATTTTGATTTAGCTATTTCTAAAGCATTTACCACATCATTTTCTGAGGTCACCTGTAACACAAACAATCTTTGGAATAAAAAAAGGACCAAATAATTTACTTTATCTATGTATCTACTTGATCAAACTGAATTAAAAATTAAAAACAGACGTTACTAATTGTTAATTAAGCAGTTTTAAACTAGTTTTGGTGTTTATTATTAGTTGAAACCTTTAGTAGAATACATCGGAGACATATTTTTCAATTTTTAGGCCCTTATTTTACTTAAATTGTACAGTAGTTTTCTAACAGTTTCCAAAAAGCATAAAGAACTTTACCTACTTTTTAAACAGTTTTGACGTTTAAATATTAACATCTGAATTTTTTTAGTTAAAACATTCCGATACTTTAAGGGACACATTTCTTTGGATTTTGGTGTGTAAAATTTTTTTCGACCTACAAACATATGGAGTGCACCTTTAATGACGAGTATTGAAAAATCTACCATTCCCATTTTAGCTCAAATTAAAATTAGATTATCATTTTGTATCTCTTTTGCTTTCTGATATTTTTAGTCTTGCAAAAAGATACGAAATTACAATCTAATTTCAATTACATAGATTACAGCTCAGCCTATATTTACTTACATCTGTTGCAGCAAATACACAGTCATCTCCTAAACCACTGGCAACTTGTTTTCCTTCAGAGGATTCCAAATCACATAAAACTACCTTAGCACCTTGTTTAACAAATCTTTCTGCTGTTGCTTTTCCTAATCCTGATGCACCGCCTGTTACTAAACCAACCAGGCCCTGAAAAAAATCTCAAATATATTATACCTGTATAGTATAGTATAGTATGGCCAAACATCATAACAATACCTGTGCGGTAGGCTATGATATAATAGACCTTCTCTCAAGGAGAATTGAGATCAAATTTCTGAGTCATTGAAAAATATCCAACTGACAAGAAAATAAATAAACAACCCTGCATTGTACCAACCAGGCCCTGAAACAAATCTCAAATATACCACAGCTGTCATTATACCAACCCAGCCCTGTGGCGAAAATGGGCCTCTTTGAAAACCAATTTTGAAGACATAATGTGCGTTCATATCTATATTTTCATCAACTCAGATATTATAAGTACTCTTTTGAGACTGCTATTACAATTCTCATAAAAATAACAGATAAAAATCAAAAACCTTTTATTTTGTTCAGGCATTAGTGCCAATAATAGAGAGATCATCATAGAAAGGGATGGCACCGATCCAAAACGGCTTAAATTTGGTCATAGAATGCCTCTCAAAAGATTGGGCAAGGTAAGATTGTAAGTTTATATCTTTCATTTCCTATACAATGTGTTGTAAGTAAAGGCTACCTTAATATTCTGAATCTCATCATTTTCTTCCAATAAATAATTATTGGCTTATAATTTGGCGACAATGGTCATCCATAAAAAAATGATGAAATGATTATTGTAGAATAAATTTTTCCAGAAATTCAACATGACACATTTGGATGTGCCTGTAATTTCACTTCGTAATGGGTCTTGACCATATTATTCCAGAGTTTGAGCTTCAGTTTCTCACACTTTAGAAATACACTTCAGTTAAAGACGAAAAGAGAAATGTTTTCACCTTCAATGTTCCAATGGAGGACGCCATGTTGATCTTAGTAACTGCGTTCGTACGGTGTCGCTGGCACACTACTGTGGTATATTATCCATAAAGCCCCTTGGCTTATGCTTTGGTTGTGGATGGAAATCCTTATACTTTATAAAAGAATGTTTTCTCCGTATTGTCGAATTACGTTGAGGATCGTTTATGCGTAATCCGTGTTTTAGTAAACTATAAAAGAATTAATGGTTACTGTCAAGTTCTTGGAATATGGAGCATCTCGAACACGTAAACTAATCCAGCATGGCCTCTACAGTGTTAAAGGTATAATAAAAGAATTATATCCGTTCTATTTCAGTTATTCTTTGAAATTATTTGTATGTGTCATACTTCATTTAAAGTTTTGATCTTAGTGCTCCATCGAAAT